GGGGGGGGGGGGAAGAAAACAACTATTCCACTTGGCTCCTGGACAAAGGAAACAGAACATATATACGCATTATCATTCGCTCGACCAAATCAACTACAGTGCGAAAAAGACCAGTTTCTTAACTTTGAAAAGGAGCAGTTTCTCAACCTAGGTCAAAAGACAGCACAATAACAGCATATAAGGAATCATATGCCAGCAGCACAGCTAACCTACTACAATGCAACATATTCTCTTCGTGTGGATTGTAATCCCCAGTTGGTAGTCAAGTAAGGTTCTTGTTCATTCTACACAGAACATATTAAACATCATGCAAACAGAAAGAAGAAGAAAAGAAATAGTTGGGGATGCTTACCTTCTCCCAAACTTGTAAATGGTAACTATTGAGCCACTCTACGTCCGCAACAGAGAGCAAAGATATGTCCACTAACTTAGTCTGGATGATAAGAAGCAAAAAGTAGTCATATCACTAGAAATTATGGCAGTAGCGTGATGGAGCACAGTGCATACACTCCAGAATGAGTTGATTTAAGACATGATTGACATCAGAGCAGGTCAGGAAAACACTAGTGAAAACTATGGAATTCATTTATCAGATATCTGAAGATGGATATGAAGTCTAAATGTGACCCAAGCTTATATACGCTCATACATGATATGACATCACGCCTTATAATATATGAGTTTTTAGGAATGTCAAATGTGATGGGAAAGACAAGAGTGGGTTACTCTAGTGATGAGCACTCTCCACTTCCAACGAAGAGGTTGTGAGTTCGAGTCACCCCAAGAGCAAGGTGGGGAGTTCTTGGAGGGAGGGAGTCGAGGGTCTATCGGAAACAGCCCTTCTACCCCCAGGGTAGGGGTAAGGTCTGCGTACACACTACCCTCGCCAGACCCCACTAGTGGGATTATACTGGGGGGTTGTTGTTGTTGTAAATGTGATGGGAAAATATATTCCATAATCTCCTGCACTCTGACGAAGAGTAATAATGTCTCACTGGTTCATCTTGTTGCATCCGTATCTCAATGATAAATTCCGTGCTCTTTGTATTAGTTAGTTACCTAAAGCCCGTTCCTATTTTACACGGTGGAGAAGTAGACTACAGCAGAAATAAACAGATTGACCTTGCAACCTGTGCGTGTAATAGAAACTCTACAGCCTAGAATTGCCAAGGCCAGTCTCTTTCTGTATAAGAACAGGGTAAAATTCATTAGTAAACGAAAGACAGATCATTATGAGCTACCATACCTGTATGGGAACAAAAGTAAGCTTTTCAAATCCCAGATATCCTATTCCTCCAAAACGATTCGGTGTATCTACTTCTTTGACGTAAAGAAGATTCTGAATAACAAGAAAGAGTAAAAATCAGATATCATAATAAAAAACAGAGGAAACTTTATGGCATAACCTGCATTAGGGTAAAGAAATTAGGTATGAAAAGGATAAACATGATTACATTGTTAGCCAAAGAGAATAGTACACTAATGCCTCAAGAACAGCATAACACTCTGACTGAATTCTTTTACAATCAAATCAAGTGAGAATTCATGCAGAGAAGAAGCTCCACATGCCGCTTAAATACTTCAGGTTTTTACAGGAAAAATCACATTTTTTCGGTGTCATATTCCGCTTTTACCAAGATGGAGATTTTAACATCAGAATTTAACGAACTTTCTTCTTCAGCTTTTAGTAAGGAACTTGACCTGAAATTTTAGCAACCTATGAGCTCTAAAGTTCCTCAGATACTTTTTCAGGTTCCAACCGAAAAAAAAAAAAAGAAGTTTACTCGCTCGTATGCTTCCAACTTATATACCTATGGATGTTTTAACATCAAAATTTAGCAGCTGATCTACTAGAAGGTGAATAGAGAACTTCCCTAAGAGAAAAGAAAGAGAAGCTTCACTAGGAACCCATTTATCAATTCAATAATTAAAAAAAAATTAAAACATACTAGAGATACTCATGATTTAAAAACAAAAAGAAAATAGCTTTCTATTCTTTCTAGAATATGGAGAAATGTGGAAAGTACCTCAATTCGAATGCCAAATTGATGGTCTTCATAGTAACCGGGTTCATTGCTGACAATCATTCCTCTCAATAAGGGAGTCATATTTCCAAAGCGGAAACTAATGCTATGTGGGCCTTCATGAACATTTAGTGCAGCTCCTACACCATGCCCAGTTCCTAGAGGAAATAACGAGCACGTGTAAAGGAAATACTTTTAAGTTACTAAAACCTCCTAATACTATAAGAACACAGAACTTTGAGCATACATACCATGCCGGTAATCAAGGCCAACCTTCCATAGGGAAGACCGTGCAAATGCATCCAACACGAAACCAGGGGTATTCTCAGGGAAAACTGCTTGGTCAAGTGCTATGTGACCCTGAAAATGTTTTAATCAACTACAACCTATCTAACAATTATAGAAGCTCTTATCTAGCAATGCAACAAAATGGGGTACCACAGAATACCAAGAATACAACCTCAAGACGTGCTTCAAAGAGTAACATTTGAAATGGAGACTTAAAAGGAATGTCATTGATGAGTTGATTTTATATGGACAAAATCAATTACCTAATTTACCTAAGTTTTTGAGGTACTTTATAGATTCCTTTCACTGTTTTACTATATTAGTTGATCGGTTACTCATAATTGAACCTTAAGCTCGGGGGGGTTCAGAAACTATTGTATCTTTTTTAGAAACGGCACCCAACTTGATTCCACAATTGCTTATGAACCCTTTATTTTGTCAAATCTGTCAATGAGGGGGAAAAAGAGCTTCTGTGAGATATGCTATAAACAAGATGGATTTTAACTCTATTTTCAAGAATATGCTGGAAATTATCCATAAAGAGTTGAACTTGAAAATTGGTTATATCATAGCTCATGAAGTCTAGTTTCCATCAAATTACACGGTTCATCATTTGGACACTCCTTCTGGAAGACATGGTCAAAATACTCAAACATGCGCAAAGCTGAAGGAAGTCCGTGTCGGCGTCCATCAAAGGAGATTTTCAGCAAAAATTTACAACTATGGCACCTATGCACCAGCTGAAAAGTTTCTGGTTTAAAAAATGTCCTTTCACAATATCTGTACACCGAACAAAGTTAGGGCATAAGAGGGAGACGCTGCACCCCCAGAGAGAAAGCATTAAGCTGTTAGGTTCTTTTTTCTTGCTCCCATTGCAACTTTTTGGATGTAACTGCAGCACTTTCTTAATGCTGCTTTTGACATCAATACTACTTACCAATCAAAAAGAAAAAAAGGAAAGAATAAAAAAAGAGAGAAAGCACTAGGCGGCTCTAATTGAGGTTCTCCTTTCCCTTTATTTTCTTAATATTTTATAATTAGATGCTTGAAATGTAAGTCTTCCGATCAGCTCAGGTTTCCTATTAGTAAGGATTTAAATTGAAGTATAATCCAATTCCAGAAAACTCTACCATATTCCCGTCGTAAGTATAACAAATGTACCATTGCTGGCAGAAAGGTATATTTTACCTGTAGTACTCGGGTGAAACATTCTCTTTCTCTTGCAGATGGTTCACCGAAATGCACTGTCCTAGTAATATCAGTCGTTCCATCAATATATTGGCCTCCACTGTCTAAGAGGAAGAGTTCCTTCTCATCCACAATGCTACAACTATCTGGCTCTGGCTTGTAATGAATTATAGCACCATTGGCACCCGAACCTACATATAAATTAGTAGGTATGAAAATGACTGGAAAGAATACCAGCGTGTGAAAATTCTACACCTAACTAGCCAGTCATTGATCATTTTATGCTGATTCAAACATTTCTTCTCATCGATATCTCAAAATAAGTGATCTAAAATTTTACAGCACGTGCTTTCATTAAGGAAAATTGAAAATCACTCCATCACAGAAAACTTCCATACATCTGAAAAAAGTTAAATAGGAAGAATTCTACATTCTTTACAAACTATCAAGTAGCATCTATGGTGATATTTACCCGATGACCATAGGGCACTGAATATGCAGACATGGCTATGAACATAATGGGAGCCATACAGATTTTCCATTAGTAGGAGGAGATAAAGATTTCTTGAATGTAAATGGACAACAAGACACAAATAGGCCATTTGAACAAGCAGAATCCAGCGAAAAGAGAAAGAAAAACTACCATAGGAATTGTGTTGGTGAAATCAGATCCAAGATGAGTATTGTATTAAAAATTTTGGAATCTTCTATTGTAGATAAATCCCGAATTTTATAAAAAGGACAATGCAAAGTGACCCATGCAAATACCTGCTGTTTCATCCCAAAGTCATCAACTACTCCCTTTGTTCAACTTACAAAACAGTCCAAAATTTCTTTTTAGCCAGCATGAAAACAATATCATTCTTGTGAGAAGGCACGGGAGAAAATATGTTATTGATATTGGATGATAAATACAATACGAGAGGTCCCTATTTATAGCTATGCACTACAAGAAGATATTACTCCTCTTCCAATGTGGGACAAGACTACACTATACATATCTGTAAACTAACACTCCCCCTCAAGCCGGTGCATACACATCATA